CTCTAAAATGCCTTCTTTTGACAAAGCTTTCAGGTGTTCTAACGAGGGATTTGTTATAACAAGGTGAACCTACAACACAGCCATCCATGATGAAATACCTGAATCTTGCTTCCCGGGTGACCTCAGCTCTTGTGAGTGGTCCCCCTTTCGACCGTTCTGGCTTGGCTGCTCTTCTCTTGATTTATGTCTTTTGACAAACATCTGTTGAGCATCAACCATGCACAGGGCACAGTGCTAGGTGCTGGGGACAGCAAGATAATTACAAACAAGTTGTAGGCTCAAGAAGCTCACAGTCTTATGTAGAAAGTCGAGAAATGAACTGACGGTCACATATGTACCGAAGAAAGGGCTCTACAAGGGTATCCCTGTCTTTCTTCACAGAAGTGAGCTTCACTTTCTCTAACTCAGAACTGGAGCCAGCACATTCATTTACAAGAGAGGCAATTGCCCAGTCCATCCACTGACAAAGCTAAGCAGGATGCCTTTTGCTCTTCGTCTTCCTCCCTCCTTCACCACATCTCCCTGTCTCTCTCTGTTCTTTGAACTTCTTGTCCTCCTTCCCTTCTTTTTTCCTGTGCTTTTGCTTTTCTCTTAGTTACCTCCAGACCTTGCCAGGGCCCCTCCCAAGCACTTATCCTCTGAGCCTGTCTTTTTAGTATATTTAGACATCCAAAGGTAAGTCAAAGAATGAAAAGGGTTGGGAAACACTGACCCAGATCTTGTCAAGCTCATAACCGGTTATTTTGTCTCGTTACACTGGCATTTCCTGCCTCTTTGTGACCTCAATAGTGCACTGAGCATCCCTAGATGCTCCCTTATTCAAATGCAGCTTGGCTGGATTGTTAAAATGAGGAACATTTCAGGGAGAAAGAGATCAGAGTAGGTACCAGAGGTGAGGAAGAGCCAAGTCTGGGTACAAAGAATAACCTTGCTCCTTGCTTTCAGCTCCCAAATGCCATCTCTGCACTAGACCTCCTTTGACAAAGCCCAGATGGTGTTACTGGGGAAAGTGTAGCAGCCAGAGGGTACAGAGAAAGTGCTTTGTTTGGGGCTCTGAGAAAGGGGACTAACTAAGCTGATGGTGAGAAAGATGAACAGACTGTCCTCCTACTAATGCTGCTTGATACTCAGTAACAAGTCTGTGATGAAAACATCTTTAAGAGAGGACCTTAATCACTAACTTTCTTGCTTCTCTTCCATTAACTCTATCATTCTATCCCCTTTCTCCCTAAGAGACTTAAAGCGCTGTCATTTTCAGAATTCAGTTATTCTGGGTCTTTTAGTGATATTGTTTCTCACTTTTAATTCATTGGAAAGCAGTGAAACCAGATGGCTCTGCCTCCCTTTCTGCTGCTTCGCTAACCCCAGAACTGGTTCTCTGCCTTCCTTTGTTTCATCTACTTATCTGTCCAGAAATCCATCTGACAAGCATTTATTGTGCTTCTACTTTGTGTGAAACTCTCTGATGGCTACTCTGGAGGACACAAAGATGGAGGAGACAAACTCAGTGCTTTCAGGAACTTGTAATCTGTGCAGGAGACACATCTAAATATAATAATAAATACAGATACAGAGGAGATTTTGTAGAACTTGCACTGACTTTTCTCTTCACCATTTTAGAAGTGAGATGGTTCTTTAAAAACAAGCCTCCTACATTCCGATGCTTTTTTCTCTGCTATGAGCTCCAGGAAGGCCAAGTTGATCCTTTAAGGAAAGAGTTTGTCACAGGCCAGGAGAAAGGACTAGATTTTGGGATCAGGGTGGGAACCTTCAACTTGGAACCTTAAATCAATATTTTAATCAGCAGGAGAAGAGATGCTTGGGTCAGAATCAGGCCTGGCTCCATGCCAGACCTTAAAACCAAGAAAGACATACATAACCAGAGCACAGGAGTAGATGCAATGTTTCCTTTTCCTTTTCCAGGATTCCTTTGTATAAGGTACTACCCTTTCTCTGAGGACATAACAGTCAAGAGCATCCAAAAGCCATGACACATTCATCCCTTTAAGAATTTCATCACTGGATTAGCTGGTTTGGGGTAAAAGATCTATGAAGGCAGGTGGTGAGGAATGGGGATGAGTACACCGAGTAAACACTAGATCTAGAGGCAGTATTTGAGGCGGGCAGTCATGATATTTGGCACAGAGTTTTTTTTGTTTGTTTGTTTGTTTATTTTTGTTTTTTAAATATGTATTTATTTATTTGAGAGAGAGAACTTGAGTGAGTGTGTTGCGGGGAGGAGCAGAAGGAGAGGGAGAGAAACTTCAAGCAGATTCCCTGCTGATCATGAGCCCAACTTGGGGCTTGATCCCATGACCCATGAGACCATGACCTGAGCTGAACTCAAGAGCCAGATGCTTAACCGACTGAGCCACCCAGACGCTCCATGACACACAGTTTTTGAACCAAATGATAACCAAGGAAAATTCAGGTAGATTCTCCATCTCTTCAATCGAGTCTATCAAAGGTTACAAAGTCATTCTAGGTAAAGTGGGGAGTAGAAGCCTCTATATAACTAAGTTCAAAACATGGGCCCCCAGTTATTCTTCTATATCTAACTAGGGGATCAGTCCATTTTATTTGGGGGGTGTTCAGACTCTACCTGAGTCTTGAAGGATGAGTAATTTACAAGGTGCACAAAGTGGAGAAAGAGATTCTAGATAAAAGAGGGAAGGAGAAGTGGTAGTGCTGAGATGGTGGGACTGAAGGTACAGTTGCAGAGAGAGGAAGAAGCTAGAAGGAGTGCCAGGTTTAGAGCCTCCATAGTCCACATTAATGAATGGGAGGCTGCTAGAAGCTAAAGGAGGTGAAGCCCAACTATAGGACCCACTGCCATGGGTTGGAAGAGTGGAGGGTCTCCAGAGTTTCTTCTATCCACTGGGGCAGGTGGTTCTGGGATAGGAAGCTGCACGAGGAGACCACAGAAGAATCTGTTATAAATGCAAGTTGGGACATCGGGGAGGGTATGTGCTATGGTGAGTACTGTGAATTGTGTAAGACTGATGATTCACAGACCTGTACCCCTGAAACAAGTAATACATTATATGATAATTAAAAAAAAAGAAGATATACTTGGAAGTTGGGGCGAGCCAGTGGCTACTCTGACGGCTGCATAATGTCTGCTCCCTGGGTGGTTCTGTCTTTGTTCCTCTGCGGCACGAGACTACAGTTTCTAGAGAGACTTGATTTGGGAGCCATTTCTGGTTTATTAAGGTGTCACTTGGACAGTGTACAAACAGCACAAGTGGAAACTACAAACCCACACACAGAATAAATTATGACATTTGCATTTAAAAGTAGATGGTAGAGGAATCCGTGCTACCAGAAGGGCTTCCCAGTCCAGTGTCTGGAGATTCACCAAGTGTCAGCAGCCCTGAGAGTTCAGGATCAATCTTCTGTGAGACTTCTGGAGCCAACTGCCCCCCTGCAAGCATATCTAATGAGGCCCAAACTCCTGCACACAAACATGTATACGCAAAGACGAACACACACAGGGCAGGGGTGGGGGACGGCCTGTAAACAACAGTCGCTTAAAGCAAAGTGGACCCAGTTGTGCTTTCCCTGTGGCACTGGGGGCCGTTCTGTTTCCTACCCTTGTTCTTCACCAAATCCCTGGCTCTGGTGGGAGGTGTTGGGGGGGCCCCTGGGGCAGTGAGGTGGTGGGGGTGGGGTGGGGCGACTGCTGCCTGAGGCTAGGAGCCTCTGCTCACACTGCAGAGTGAGCACTCCCTTGCACTCCTGTCTGGCCTGCCCAGCCCTGCTGGCCACTCCCAGGAGAGTGAGGGAAGAGATGTGCCCTCAGGGAAATCTACCAACTTGGGAGTCCCATGAACTGTGGGCAAGTCCTACATGGGCCACTCTCTAGCAGTGTGATGTCTGGGGAAGTTATCTCAGTTCTCTAAGCCTCAAATTCCTCATATTCCCCATCCGTGAAATGGGAACAAAAGTGCCTACTTCACAGGGTTGTCATAAGGAGTTCCTGAAATTTTATATTGCCAAGTACCACGCTAGACTCAAGTTCAATATTCAAAACCTATTCTCTTTTCCTACCTTCTCCCCCATTTCTTCCTTTATATTTCCCCATTTTGTATTCCCAGGTTTATGTAGCTGTCGGTGCTCATGTAATCCCAATGACACCAAAACCACCTCTTGACAAACAGGGCCTCTCCTACCCCATCAGAAATTGCTGGTGTGTGCTTCTCCCACCTCCTGCCCTGACCCAGTACAAAACTATACCACTAGAAAAGTCAAAGGGAGGGGCCACAGGGACCAGGAGATAGTCCGGGCCTCTGGTATCATCTGAGCTCAGGAGCAAGACCTGGGCAGCCTATGGGCCCATGGAGACCTGACAGTCTCAGGAAAGCTGGTGAGATGTCATAATGGCGGAAAGACATGTGCACCAAACAGCGGTGTACAGGTGACTCTGAGCTGAGTCTGGCCGGAAGCTGGAAATGAGGGGTGATCGTGTTCACAAACTTCAGCAGAAATACAACCACCCCCTGCCAAGAGCGGGGCACACCAGAATGTAAGAGACTCATCTTCCTAGCAGGTCTGTCCACCAGAAGGCCAGTTTGATGGGTCACAGTCTACAGCTCTGGTTCTGCAGAAACTTTCCTTGCATCTCTCCATCTGTATGTCTGCATAGTTTTCCACCTGGTATATATTAAGAGTTTCATAGAATACAGACTGACCAGGATAGAAGACCCTCTGTGCTCATTTAGCACCTTTTATCTAAAAGTTATTTTTTAAGGTTGCTCAACCAAGCCTTTCACAGGAATGCTGTGAGGTAGTAACAAGACAGGCAATACCCCTCTTTTGATAGATTGAGAAGAGCTCAAGGTAGCACAGTGCTCACGTGAGCACAGCTGAAACATGGTAAAGGCTTGATCAATTCAGGGGACCGATCTGTTTCCCAAAGACCACAACTGGCCTTCCACCTAGAGGCCCTGGTAAGGCTTGTCCTGAACTGACCTCTATATCCAGACTCACTTTGCTGCTTTTCACACCAGTGTGGGTTTCAAGTCGTCTTTGAAGTTCACAATAGGCTTTGAGCGGGCCCACAGCTTCTCCCAGGAAGCCAGCCCCCCAGCAGGGTCAGGGTCGGTGTCTGATGAGCCACTGTCACTGGAATCAGAGGAGCTCTGGAAGCAGATTTCACAGTAGGGCCGGTGGCAGCGGCAGAAGAGCTCGTCTGAGCTGCTGGACTCAGTGTCAAGGTAGCTGCATGGAGGGGACATGGAGGGACAGCGTGGGAATCCCAGGGGCAGCAGCTGCCGCTGCTCCAGAATGTCTGGTGAGGCTCTGGATAGGTGTGGGGCAGCAGGACACGGTGCCCGGTCAGAGCCAGAAGGCTGGTGGGGAAAGGCTGCATGGCTCCCTCCGGCACCCTGGGGCTCTGTGTGGCTTTGTTTGCTGCCCTCCAGGGTGTCCGGCTTGCCTTGAGGATCTGGGAGTAGTGAAGTCTTCCTGGAAGAGGAATTTGGGACTCTGGAATCAGCCGTTTGGAGATCCAGGCAGACACTGTCCCTACTGCGCACATTTAGCCGCCCACTGTATGCCCCAGAAACAGTCCTATTTGCACGATGCCCCACATATGAAGGTATAGAGCCTGGAAAATGTGAGCGAGCCTGCAGCGCGGCCCGCCTTCTCCTCACCATGTATGGGCTAAAGCCAAGCTCCTTGGTGAGGGGAATCTTCTGGAAGCTGTGGGCAGCACTGCTCTTCCAGGGCTGCTGTGGATAGGACAGGGAAGAGGGGAGGGGAGGTTCAGGGCCCAGGCCCAGATCTTGTAAGATTTCCTGAAGCTTCTCCCTGATCACTGAATTGACCCTTGATAGCCGCTTTCGGGGTTCCTCTGAGTTCTCCAGCTGCCCCTGTCTCTGGGGAACGGGGCCTTCTCCCCCTGGTATGAGATTCTGGGGGGCGTTCATGAGTACTTGGTCTTGTCTTTCTGCTCCTTGGCTTTGCTCAGGCCGTGGCTTCTGGCTGCAGCCCAAATTTAAATGATCAGAAACATCTTTCAAGTTAGACGTTTTCTCCTTCTGCCCTGGGGAGGAGCTGGGGTCCTTCACAGTCCACTCCAGGCTTTGTACACTTGTGCACTGGAATTCCTGGGCAACCACATTGGTATCATTCTGAGAGTCAGAGAGGCATTCTGAAGGCCCCTGACCTACCAGGCTATGGGCAGAGGTTGCAACCAGGATGTTCTTGCTGTGGGAGGAGGCAGGAGGGACAGCCCACTCTGCGGGGTCGAGGGTGCACTCAGCTGACATCAGCCTCACTAGCTTCTCTTTGGCGTTGTTTACTTGTTCCTGCAGGCTTTCAATCATAGCATTTTTCTGCAAAATAAAAGTGAAACCATCAATAAAGAATGCCTCAGAGGGTTTTTACATTGTTTCCCATGGTGGAGAAAGCGTGGCTTCGGAACCTTGCTCTAAATCCCAGCTCCTCTGCGTATTGGCTGGTGATCTCAGGCTCCGAGGATGTGAGTGAAGTGATAAGCACAGTAACAGACACACGGTGCTCAATAAAGGTTAGCCATGATTTATTGTTGGGTGATCTTAATCCCCCCCACCCCGCACCAAAGTCCTCAGGGTGTGTGGCTTTGTCTGTGAGACGGGAGGTCAGATGAGGCATAGCATTAGCTGTTTGCTGGCTGCTACAGGCCCCTCTCCTCTTTCCTCAGAACTTAGAGGGTCAGGTTGCTTCTGTGGGACACCACTCTAGATAATGTTTGAGATGGCCCAACGCAGGGGTTGCCACACTTTGGCAAAAAACAGATGAATTTCCAGCATATCTCAGGGGGCTGAATGAATGAGGAAATACATACTTTGCCTCTTGTTAAACAGACTAGAACATTTGGGAAGAACAAAGAGAAGAGTGGAGATTCCTGCGCCAAAGAGAGAAGACCCGAGCTGGGGCTTGGGAGGGGTGCAACAAGATTCTCAGGTTGATGTCATCGCCTCCCTTGGCTGGACCTTGGGAGCGCGTGCCGAAGCTACCGTGTCACGCCATTAGCTGTCGGTAGCTCCTAGAAAAGGGCAGGCACCAGAATTACTGGAGAAACTTTTTTTCTTTTCCTCCTTTTTATTGGAATAGTTGAGACTAAGTCTCTGATCGCAGGGAGCCAGGAGATGACTAAGCCTGGGGCAGCTCGGCTGTGGAGCGACCTGCGTCCTGCAGGGCTGTGAGCTGACAATACAGGTTGCACCCAGGAGGGCTGGCTGGTGGGGCCCTGCCTGCAAGAATGTGCCTGTCCTAGCCTCAAGATCAGGGGGCATGAAGCAGCAGGAAGGGGGTGGTGGTGGGTGTGCCCTGAGCGTCCTCTGCTTGTACAGTCGGCGACTGGCTAGCTCAGAACTTATGTCCACCTTCTGAGATTTCTGATGTTGAAAAGTAGTGGAGCCCAAAGAAGAAGCGATGATCTTGGGGCAGACAATAACAGGGCCCAAGGTTTGGGGAGTAATAACCCAAACTGCTTCTAGGAAGTGCTTGTCCAAATTCGAAAATGTTGCCTCTTTGGGGTCGTCCTCTCTAAAAGCTGAGGACGAGCATCTGCATATTCATTGATTGTGTCCTAGAAATCAAAGAATGTCTCCCTCCTTGGGCTACCTGAAGCAAGTCACCTGTGGACTGAACCTGCGGGTTTTTTTTCTCAAGTTGATATGGGAGTGTTGCCCAGAAGTGACCTTTATGGGAGCAGTAACTTAAGTAAACTAGTCTAGCAATAGTCCTCTGGCAGCGACTCCAAGCAGATCTCCCATTCCCTCTTTATAAGCAGCAGAGTGACTTTCCGAATATTGGTAGTTCAGGTTCATCCTGGCTGAGTCTTCTTCTTTTATTATCAGGAAAAAGTCCAGGACCAGTGAGTAACTGGTGAATAAGCGGAAGGCCTTTGCAGCTGAGCTCCTGCCTCCCCATCCTCCTTTTGCTCACCTGCAGAGTGGTGAGGCCGGGGCGTTGCCGGGGAAGTATAGATGACTCAAGGACTCACCAGGAGCAGAGTGGATGAGTAACTCGACAACATCCATTCGGGCTCTTCATGATATCTGGGTGGTGCCCGATATCTTTCAGAGAATCTCATGGGCGTGACTGAGCACAAGAGGGACGCCAACCCTCTTCCTCCTCAGCAGCCCTTCCTCCTGAAGCCACCCCCCAACCCCCTGCCGCCCCGCACATTCTCATAGGCTTCAGGAGGTCTCCACTGCACCACAGAGTTAGGAGGAGGCCACCAGCTAATGACAACTACCCCAGCAAGTAAACTCCAAGTGTTGACTTTTTGTGCCTCAAATTCCTTTGAGTGTAGAAAAAGAGGATAAACATTGAGTTGGGAAGAATACTTTCCTCCCAGCAAACCAAATATCTGAAGCTGACTAGTGACAGATTTAGAAACGTCAGCCTAAACAGTAAATTTCCCTTGTTCCAGAAAAGGAAGCAGGACTCTGTCTTCACCGTGGCTGCAGACTAATTAAAGGCGTGGTATGAGGTGTTGCCATTGTGAGACCAAAATCTGACCTACCGGGGCAGCTGCATTTAAATGAGCTTATTAATTACTACTTTTGGCCCATCGGAGAAGCAAAACATCCATCATTGTGTTTTATAAGGGCAGGCCATAAGGAGAAATAGAGTCACCCTCTTGTAGGTGAATATCCTCTGCTGCAGAGTGTACAAGGGAGGGTCTTCAACCCCTGGGGCAGTTCTGTCTGCTGGCCTTCCCACAGCCTGGCAAGTCAGCGATGCATGCTGCCACAGCAGCCTCTGGGGGACCTCTGGCTGTAGGGTCAAGGGGGGCAACAGTGAGAAGATGGACTGCTCATGTCATGAGAAAGTAAGAAGAGGACACAGGAGACAGAGGGTCCTAGGGAGGGGGCTGCACAGAAGGGACCTGCAACCAAGGAGCTGGAGTCAGGGTCTGCGCACATAGGGAAGCAGGAGGGATACTTGTGTTGATCTAGCAGGCAGTGCTGGAACTGGAGACTCAGATACTGGAAGCTCTCAAGGCCTGTGGAGGGGCACTAGGACAAGCTACTTGTTCTCAGGCCTGTTCTGGGGAAGATGTTCCAGGTGTAGTCGCCGGGTGGAAGAGGCCAGGATTTTGCTGCCTATGCATCTGTTCGCTATTAGGGCCCTTCCTCTGCAGACTCCAAGCATGTTTCTGGATGGAGCAGATTCAGTTACTGCGTGGGAAACAGGGTAGCATGGCAGAAATACAAAAAGCATGTCACAAATTACCATAAGGCTAAAGAGTCAGACCACTTGGCTGTTCCAGCGTTAGCTGATTGTGAATAAAAATCATCCTGGCTGTTTTTGCCAAGTTTCCAGCCTTCTGTTTAGCTGGAAAAAAAAAATGCTTCTTTGAAGACTTCACAGAGTATCAAAGGCAATGCTACTTACTCCCTTGCCAGGTAGGAAGAAATGTGGCTTTGAAATAAGGTCCTGGATGCTTCATGAATAGTCAAGAAATGGAGAAGTATTATTCTGGTGGATTAAAGAACTCCAGACGGAGGGTGTGGTGTGAGGGAGTAGAGGAGCACAAGCAGGGGTGCCCCGGGAGGTGAATCCCTTCCCTTGTTGTGTTCCTTAGGTCCCCATCACACCATCTTCTCACGCAGAGACAACAGAGACAACTGACCGTAACTGGTCAGGCCAGTTACGGTCAAGTGTAGTTTCCCACATAGCACCTACTCAGGTGTGTTCTGTACTGAAAAAGTATGAAATATAATTTAGTGAGTGTGAAAAACTGATTCTGCAGAGTCCTAGGCCTCCTTTCTGAGGCAGGGCAGCCTCAAGCTTTTCCAGGTGCTTTCTTCAAGCCCACATCATACTGCCCAGCTCTGGGAGAGGTGCCAAATCTGGCTGAAGAACAGAAGAAAAAGGAGTTGGGGTTGGCCCAGTCCTCCCCTGGTGCTACTATGATATTCAGAGGAGGCCCTATTAAGCCCTCCACCCCATTTTGGAGACTTTCTGGGTTGGCAGGATGACTGAAATCTCTAGTTTAAACCTGGAAAGGATAATAATGGGCCCCATAAGATCTTGGAAATGAGGACACTACTCTAAGAGAATATATCATACTGAAGAAGCTAGGATCCACCACTGCTCAAGACCTTTACAACACTGCTCCCCCTGCTTGGAATGCTTTTCCTTGCGCCTGGTCAATTTGCACTTAACCTTCAGGTCTCGACTCAGAGGATATTTTCTGACCATTCTAAAGTAGGTTCCTCACTACCCATTATTCTATCTTACCACTCTGATTTCTTCCTTCATAATTCTTTTTTTTTTTTTTTAAGATTTTATTTATTTATTTTTGTTAGGGAGAGAGAGCAAGAGAGTGTGCATGAGCAGAAGGGTAGAGGGGGAAGCAGACTCCCCGCTGAGCAGGGAGCCCAACACTGGGCCTCAAGCTCAGGACCCTGGGATCATGACCTGAGCCAAAAGTAGACACTTAAATGACTGAGCCACCCAGGTACCCCTTCCTTCTTAACTGTTAACACAGTTTATAATTAAAATTTACTTGATCAACATCTGTTTCCTTCAATAGACTATGAGCTGTATGAGGGTAAGGACTGTACTTCTTTCATTCATCAGCACTTTGCACAAACCTTGGTACACATCTGGCCAGTGAATGAATTCAGTGGGTGAGGTCAGCGACTGGAGGGTCCCTGAGGAAATGCTGAGCTTTCTGCCTGGGACTGAGGGAAGTGGGAGTGGCTAGGAAGTGGGGGAATGGAAGTATAGGAATGTCAGCAATGAGACATCCAGGGAGGACCTTCGCATGATTGGAGTTCTTGCTGACAGAGAATCCACCAGGCAGGGGTCTAGCTTACTTCTGTGAGGAGTCTGTCCATGGAGTTTCTCTCTCCTTCGGCATGGCAGTTCTGCTCCTCACCATACTGGGTATGGAAGCCTTTGCTGGGAGTGCTGAAATATTTGGCCATGCGTCTGATTGTTTGGTTTTCCTCTTCAAATGCCTTCCACTGCTTCAGCTGTTAGATAAAAGAACACTTGTTATTTATTTAATTACACTCCCAGAAATACATTCTCTCACTCTTTTTCAAGAACATCAGGCATGACCATGTCACAGACACACATGTAATGTATAAACTATTCTCTTCTCAAAACATATTTTACTCTGGAAAGTTCGTAAACAGCAAAGACAGAAGGTATACAGAAGGTCAAGGTCAATTCTCAGTTTAAAAAATGCCAAAGGAAGATGATGACAGGTAGACTGGTCAAGGCAAGCCAGAGTTGAAGTATGCTTCTAGAGCCATATTCTCAAGCCAGAGTTTAGGAGCTATCATGGGGCAAGGCAATCTAAACATTGTATGTTTCAAATGAAACTGCTCTTAGTTGTAAGTAGCTGTTCTTAATTATTCTCATTTGTGGAGTAATTGTGTGCTTACTGCTACTGAAAGCCCAGTTCTTGCCAGAGGACTTCTAACCCAAATCAATAATCAAGTCTCAGACAGAGAGAAAACCACAAATGTCAATAAAAATCAATAGAAATGACAGAACATTAGGTCTGAGAGCTGGCTGTCCTTTTTAAATGACAAATGAGGAAAGACTCAGGAGGAGTATGACCTTTCAAGGCCCCACAGTCAGTCAGCAGCACAACCCCAGCTGTTACCAGAGCCCTGAGCTATACCACATCTCCTTAGCAGGGCTGATGAGACAGAGACTGGTAACTGTGGGGGTCCTATGGAGGGTTTTTCAGGAGAAATTGGTTTTGAGAAACAATCTGTGGAAGCTTGGGACTGGTTTAATTTCATAAGAATGGAAGTGAATATAGAACATTCATGGGGTGCCTCAGTGGTTGAGTCGGTTAAACATCTGTCTTCAGTTCAGGTCATGATCCTAGGGTCCTGGGATCAAGCCCCACAGTAGGTTCCCTGCTTGGTGGGGAGCCTGCTTCTCCTGCTCTCCTGCTTGTGCTCTCTTTTTCTGTCAAATAAATACATAAAATCTTAAAAAAAAAAAAAAAAAGCATTCACAAACAGGGGCATGGTCTTTGGGCCGGGGTAGGGGGAGTGGTAGTGCTGGACATTTCTCTTTCTTCCTTAAGGAATTTTCATCATTAAGGGTCCTAGTGATTTATGCTGGCTCTAGATAGGATGCTGAGGGGTCTGTGGGGAGCCACACAGGGATCCTGGAATTGATTTGCTTATTCATCAAACATTTATTAAGCTCTGACTATGGAGTGTAACCCAAATTTGGTAAAGCAGATAGAATACTAAATTCCCACCATCAACTGCAATACTTTCTCACCTAAGTCCTCCTGGGTCCTCTGTTGACTCAGCATGAGTCCTTTATGGTATCAGGAGTCTGCAAGATCTGTGTTGGGTCAGGCGAGGACCATCTCCTCTGCATGCCTTTCTCAAAATCCGCCTCCCAAGGCCATCAGCTCAGCTGGCGACTCAGGAGTTAGGAGCCTGGCACTGCAGCCTCAGTCTGTGGTCTTCAGTGGATGGAGCAGACCTCTAGTGTTCTCCTGGCACTCACCCTTGCAGTGTTGCAGTATCTCTGTTCTCTCCTAGGACGCCTTGTTTCCTTAGCAGTATAGCTTTTCTTTTTTCTCCCCCAGCAACCCCCGTCTGAATTATCTTAGCAGGCTGCTGGAAGAACTTCTCAACATTGGTGTAAGGGTACCACCAGGGCTTCTGGGCTGTCTCACCCTAAGCTGGAGGGCACAGCCAGGGTGCCCCTTGACTAAATCCTCCTATTCCCCTTTGTAGGGATCCTGGTCCTTAAGACTTGACATTTCTGGTCCATGGCTATAAATGACCCCCAGGTCACAATTTTAAGACCTCTTCATGGCACTTCCTCCAGAAGGCAAGCATTTTCTTGTTTTCTCGGCCTCTGGGCCATGTGGGTGTTGTAGGATGAATAATGTTTCCCCAAATATTTTCTTCCCCTCCTAATCTCTGGAACTTGTGAATCTGTGACCATACACGGTGAAAGGGAATTTGTAAATGTGACTGAGTTAAGGATTTTGAGAAGGGGAGACTGTTCTCGATTTTCAGGGCAAGGCCAATGTCATTGCAAGAGTCCTTATAAGAGGAAGGCAGGAGAGTCCGAAGAAGAGATGTTGCCAGTGGAAGTAGAGGTCAGAGAGAGAGACAGATAAAGATACCACACTCTTGGCTCTGAAGACGGAGGAAGAAGCAATGAGCCAAACAAGCAGCCTCTAGAAGCCGGACAAGGAGTGCAAACACATTCCCCCTAGACCTTCCAGAAGGAACACACACCTACTGACATCTTGACTTTAGTCAAATAAGGCCCATTTCAGATGTCTGACCTCCAGAGCTATCAAATAATAAATGTATTATTTTAAGCTATTGGATCTGTGGTTATTTGTTACAGCAACAATAAAACATTAACACAGTGGGACTGACTCTCAATCTCTACCAGGTAAACCAGGGTCTTTGGAAGCTCACCCCATGTGCCTCTCTCACAACCTGCCAATCTCCCCTTGTTTCAGTTTGTGCTTCAAAATGTGCAAGATGCATAAATGTTATGGTGCTCCAAACATACCCTGTTCTGTCTCCTATGTCTGCCTCTGGTCATAGTGTTCCCCCATCAAAAATGCCACACCCACTGTCCTTCCCCAATCTGCTCAGTGAACTGTTATTCCTCCCTCAAGACTGGGCCCAAATACCCCATGTTCTGAGAAGGTGTCACTGAGCTCCCAGACAGCCTGAGGCACCACTTCCTCAGCATTAGGTAATGTGCCTTCCTCAGACACCTAACAGATGTATTATAATTCCTTTCACATCTGCTCCCTACTAGATTTGGAGGTGGGTCCATGTGTTGACCTACACATTTCCTGCAGTTAGTAAGTGAAGGACAGATATGTGAACAAATGAAGGAAGCTTTCCCCTAGAAAACTAGGGGGCGCTGCGACCTATACAGATAACTATAACTTATAACTATAAGAGTAGAAATTCCTAAACAACTTCATGAGGAGCAGATGGAACACTTGGGGAATGCAGAGGAGGAAAAAAAAAAAAAAAAGCCATATCTTAGAACCCACCTGCCTCTCAGAGAGAGAGGGATGGAGGTGGGGATGTGTATAAGGATGGGTCATGTTCAGGTCACAAAAGCAGAGGCTGGCTCATTGCTGGTGATGACCTCAGTGTTTGGCATAAATACTTAGGCATTTCCTGAGGGCCTGTGTAGAGTGCTACTTGGCCCACTTGCCTCTTGAGTAATGTCATCCAGTTCACTCAGCTTCCTAGCGCCACCTAGCTGCCCTTGACGTATCTACGCTTCTGCTTTCATAAGCCCCTCCCATCAATCCAGTCTGAAGGCTTAGTCACAAGAAGGCAGTCCACCTTCTGCTGCCTCCCCTCCCTATACAGCTCTCCTCACACAACTTTCCAAATTTGTTCAGCTGTCCTATTTTCCTGGAAGACACAGTGCAGGTCTCACGGGGAGAATCTTTCTTCTACCAAAGGCCACTGAGCCAGAGCGGAAAATCAATTCAGGGGCATACAAAAAACTGACAAGCCTCAGTTACTTTCACATTTTGAAAAATCATTTACCCTCCTAAACCTAAACTACGATAAGGTATAATATATTTTTTTTGTTTTAGATCATGTTCTGTTCAAGAGGAGAAAAAGCATGAGACAGAAAATAGAAGAGGAAAGACAGACTAAGAGAATGGAAGCTCAAAACGACTAGGAAGAAAGGGGGGGGTGAGTCAGAGAGAAAGAAAGAGAAAGGCCCACACTGTCCACCCAGTTGCTGTACCCCCTAATATTTCCATTTCCACTCCCACTTTAACAAACCAACTGCTTGTTGCTTAGGTCAAACCTGGAAGTGAGATTCCAAGCTGAACTTTGTCCTGTATGTTTATGTCTGTATGTAGATGGGAGTGTACCTAAATATTACCACTGAGGATTCAAACACCAAGGACAGTGGAAGTCTTGCATCTGAGGCTCAGGATGGGAAAAGGACAGAGGTGGGTGTGGAGGGGGAAGTTACAAGTAGGGCACATCATGGAGGTTGTGGATTCACTCAATTTTCAGATAGAGGTCTTGGTTAGGTCAGGAAGGCTTTCCTCTAATAGTTCCTAGGTGATTACTTCTGCCCCAAATTATCTTGTTGTCTTCCAGAGACTCTTATTAGCTCCAAATTGTATCCTAGATCTGTTCTCTGTGTTTTCTTAACTAGTCTCTCATTTTTTATCTGTCCCCTTATTTTCTGTTACTTTAAATCAATTCACCAATTCAGTATTTTGCCATGTCCAATTGCCTGTTCAATACTTTTATTGGTATTTTAAGTCTCACACAGTATTTTTCATCCTTATTTAGTATTTCATTTTTTAAAAAAGATTTTATTTACTTATTTGTCAGAGAGAGAGAGTATAAGCAGGGAGAGCAGCAAGTAGAGGGACAGGGCAAAGCGTGGGAGAGGGAGAAGATGTGGGGCTTAATCCCAGGACCCTGAGATCATGACCTGAACCGAAGGCAGATGCTCAATCAACTGAGCGACCCAGGTGCCCCTATTCACTATTTCTAAGATTATGTCCTTTTCATGATGGTTCCCTTGAGTTGAAGAGAGGCAATATCCTTTGAATCCCATTGACAAAACAAATCAGATCTATTCCAAAAACTATTTTACTTCAGAGGAAGGCAGCTTCTCCAGATCTTCAGAAGTTTGTGGTCCAGTTCTTGTGAACTGCAGAATTTCTTCATAGGTCCTTTCCTCCTGAATCTATAGTCCTATGTGAGAAGAGCTATAGTTTCCTAGTACAGAAATATGTTTGCTTGCCTTTTCACTTGTAGTCCCAGGATGGCTTCCATAGCTCCAGTTATCACAAACATTCAAGGTAAGAAGAAGGTAGAATAGGTGATGCCAGCCATGCCTTCAGTTTTTGTTGTTGTTGTTGTTGTTAGGAAAGCAAAAGCTTTCTTATAAGTCTGCTAGGAAACCTTTAGTGTTTGAAATGGTATCACTTGGGCACCACTAGCCATGAGGAAATTTGGTAAAGCAAGTCTTGAGCTCTTTCAGTCTATGTAGTGGAGATGAGCAAGGAAGAAAGGGGTTGGCAATGGATGGATGGGTTACCAATCAACATTGGCCACAAAGCCTAAAGGGTGGGTCACGCAAAAGGTCCCTGCCCACTCCCCTTTTCCCACCTCCCAGAGAGGAACAGCCCCTTTTCTGCTATACCCCAGACAAATAAGCCACAGCTCTCATGACTTCCTTCTATCTAGTTCTTATATCATAGAGATTCAGCAAAAATTACTCTAGTTTCTAGCAGAGATGTAATACCCATCCTTGGTTTTTAGTGCGCTGCTACAGATGTTTGCATATCTGTTTATTCTCTAGATTACTTTAATGAGAATTTATGAAAGGGAAGGAGAGTAAAGGTCTTTGCCTGTGTCACACCATCGTGTCCCAAATCGCAGTCGTAACCCTCCCTCAGCCAACACTTTAATTATCGGTTAGCTCCCTCATGAAGACATTCCTAGTCAACTGCAAGCTGCAAAGGGAATCAAGATGGAGTCTAGAGGGAGTAATGGGATAAGGGAGGCCTCCGGGGAAGAGAAAGAGATCTAGAAGGGAAACAGGACAGGTGCCTAATGCCAAGTTCATTAACTCAGATATATGTGGTTCAGTGGTACCCTAGGGCATTACATGAATAATTTAACATCACTTTCAGAACCCATGGAGTCCTTCTTTCCCTCTGACTCCCTTTCTTTCTCTTTGCTCTCTGGATATTTCTGCTTCTATCTTTCTCCCTCATTTGATTTTTTTTTCCTTAATTCCCATAGTGTGAAACACATTTTTATTCAGCTTTTATTTTTCCTTATTATAAAAAGAAATGTTCTATATTGTCTTCTATTAAAAAGAAAAAAAAATTTTAAATTGCAAAAATTTCCAAATGAGTTTTTCTCTGTGAATCTGCAACCTCCAATAGGAAAGAAAGAAAATGTCCTCACTCCCAGGCTAGTGAAAGAAATGACATTATCAAGGAAAAGGGGGGACTGGAGATGAGTGAAGTCGACAGGAGGGTAGGTGGACAAGCTGGTCTGGGAGGCAGCCTGCCAGGGCTAGAAACATGCTGCCATGCTTGCTCAGCCACTCTGGCCTGTCCTTCCTGCTGATGGGAAGCAGAGTCGCCCTCTTCAGGGAAGTGAGGAGGCAAGAACGGAGAGAGCCCGCTCACGAGGAACTTGCCTTCCTTCTGACTCCCCAATAAATGGTATCCAAAAGTCTCAATAGAAAACAAAGTGAGCGGTTTATCATGTCCAGGGAAGCCTCTGGAATGACAAAGAGGACTAGCCTGACAAATTCTCCCTAGAGCATACCTGGGGAATGAAGATGAAGCAGTTGATCGTGGTTGTGCAAACAAAGATACCTCCAGATGTGAGTCCAAAGACCAGGTTGGGCCAGGAGTGCAAGTATCTAGTGACCACGAAGAGAAGCCCAGCAGCCACTACTACGAGGTTGACCCCAACCATGATGGTTAGAGACTGATTCACAGGAGGAGAGCTGACGTGGTCAGTCAGGCCAGCCAGGTAGGCACCGTAGAGCAGCAGCAGGCCCTGGAGATGGAGAAGAGAACCCGGGGCTGAGGGAAGTGTAACAATGGGCTCAGTGTCAAAGAGCAGTAAGGTTGGAACCAGTTTCCTCACCTTTAAAATAGAGATAATCAGACCTACCTTAAAGGGTTGTTATGAAGATGTACTGAGATAGCACATGGGAAAACACTAAGGGCAGCCCCTTATACCTACTAGGTGCTAAATAAATGTGATTTCTTCTCCTTCCCTGGGAATTAGTTTACTGGAGGTCAGCAAGTCAGCCACCAGACAGGACTCTGCTGGGACAGGGCACAGGCAGGACGGTGTAGGTGGGTAGCAGGTCTACAGGATGCGCTGCTGGGCACTTGGAGGGCAGTGGGTGTGCCGTGCTGTCAGTGGTAAGGACTACTGCACCTGCTGTGTGGTTTTGCACTACATGGAGCTGAGGGGCATGTATAAGCGGAAACAGCCCTGTGGTCTGCTTGTCAAGCTGTGTGCCATGGCAGGGGCAGCGCCCTGAGGAATGGGCTTTTTTCCCCCCTAATTTTTCCAAAGATACCATCTGCTTGCCAAGCCCTGCACCTGCAAGATTGCATCTGTCTAGAAGGGATGACTTTTTCTAATTTACACAAAGGATCTCTATAGGCTAGCAGCGGCTCTGTGCCAGTGGGTGTTTATGGGAGATGGAAAAAGAGAACAAAGGCAGGCTGGGACCTAAGCAAGGCTGTGGAGCAGGCACAGGCAGTAAAGGCTTCATCTATACCCTTCATCCTCTGTGTGACATTCCCTGCCCCCATCACCAGGAACCCAGTGCCCTATTCTTTCCTCTTTCCCATGAATATAAAACTGCTCTCAGATTTCTCACTTGTACGACACAGAAAATTACTCACGGCACTTTAAAGTGCTGCCTTTCCTAGAGGGAGCTGTATTGAAACAGAAATCAAAGCTGTGATCAATAATACATAATGTATAGATTCAACATATGTTTGTCTATGTATAAAAGTATGATATTAGGTGCAGGATAGGCAAAGGTGTTACAAAGAGGAATAAGCCATGGTCCTGGCTTTCAAGAAGCTCAGTCTGGTAGGGAGATTTAAGGCAAGCACACAGATGTCCATGTTTTGTCACACAGAATGTGAAGATGCCATGAGGATTGAGGTGTGGGTGGAAAGTACAGATATTCACAGGGAGAACTAATAATGAAAGCAAGGCCGGTATCAGCAGGGTACCTGCCAGTGACCCTGAAATCATACAATCTGACCAACTCCATCTGCCAGGACAGCCCTAAAGATAATTTTTTGGAGGACTGGCTGTGCCCACAGTGAAGGAGTCAACAGTGAAGGGATGCCCTCTGGGCACCCCTAATGCCCAGTATCCCAGGAGAGGCCTAAGGGCCAAAGGTGGCCCCCCTGAGATCTTCAGTGACTAGAAAATACACAAGTCAGGCCAGTGGGGCTTGAGTTTGGGGTAACTGACACCATCAGGTGGCATCTGGCAGACTGGATCCCTAGTAATTTAATTAAAAGTAAATGAAATTAATTCTATGATTTTGAACTATTCACATCTCATTCTTTAAAATGTTTTAACGCCATTAAACCTCTTGCCAAAAGGGAACGAGGTATGAATAAAGCCTCTCTACATCCACAACTTGTGTTTGAGTAAATCATATCTAATACTTGTATGTCATTGACATTCACTTCTGAGAAGTGTGGGGTGGGGGTAGTTGCCAGGTTCAGGTGGGGGTGGGGTCCTGGAACATAATGTGAAGATTTAAGTCATCCTCAGGAAGTGCTCATTGACCAGGGAGCCTGTGAGGGGCTGGCTCAGTCAGTTTCCTGATGCTTAGCACTCTTTTCTTCTTTTCTTTCCTTGTCCTTCAGAAAGATATTACAGTGAAATAAAATGGAAATGCGATTGTATAAAAGGCTATGGAGAAAATAAATCAACTTGAATCACAAAGTGAGCTTCTATGGGGGAAATGTTGAGTTTCTGTCCTGGGGAGGACATGTTTTTCTATAGGGTTCAAGAAATCGAACTGTCTAGGGGGCAGTAGAATATTAATAACCATAATATCTAACACTTATTGAGCTCTTTCCGTGGGCCAGGAGTGGCTGAAAACTCTGACCATGCACTAACTCATTTGAAATTCAGAACAGTTCTGAGAGGATTTTGTCATCTTACATTTTATGTCTTACATTTTATGTAAGAGGGAACCCAGGATCAAAGAGGTTAAATGAGGTTCAGAGTCAGCTAGGAAGGGGCTGTGTCAGAACTGAAACCCTGTTCTGTCATATTCTGAAGTTCGTTTTCTTAACTGTTAGCAAGAAACTAGAGATCAAGAGCTATTTCCTGCCCAGTGTTCTTTTAAAAACATTTCTATCAAAGTAATATATGCACATAGTAAAAAAGCAACATTTCCCAATTCCAGCCCTATTTCTCAGAGGCAACCACTTGAACACTTTCCTAGGGGTAAAGTGACTAAAGTTTACCTTTAAAGACCACCAGGCCTCTCTGTCCCAAGAATCAACAGGTAGTCTCTTAGCACCCAGGGCTTGCCTGAGTGAAATAGGCCTGCCCTATACCCCTCACAGCCAGATTTTCTATTTCTCCATGCTGAAATCAGCTAATAGGATAGTTCGTACTAAGAACCTCCTGCCCTGTACAGGTTTCCCATACCTGCTAGAAATAATATCCTACTTTTGCCAGCTAACAGAGACAAATGAGGCTAACTGTGGGAGATTCAGGGCGGTAGGAGGACACTTTGAGGCAGCTGGAACCACTCAAAGGACACCAGGGATATTGCCATCTGTCTGAGGGCCAGCCCTTCTTCCGATCAGACTGAGAAAGGTTGGTGGAAGGCAGCAGGATACCTTGACCCAAATCTTGAAGAAAAATACAAGGAGGTTAATCAGGGCACTGAACAGAACAAATAAAGCCAGATAAAATGTCTCTACATAATCTCCCTTGCAGGGAGTTGGGGAGAAAACTGGTATTGCCAGATCAATTAGAAAAATCAGACCAAGAAATGAGAGAAATAGTGGGTAAATTTCACATGATTTAGGGGAAAATTAAATAAGAGGGTTCAAAGAATTGGAAAAATGACCCCCAAGACAAATAAAGAGTAGAGAAATAATGAGGGTCATGATTTTGAGATTTATGCATAAACAGAGGTTTCCTCTGATTTCAAGATTCTTTGCAGAAATCACCTCATTAATTCCTTTAATTCCTTTTTTGTGTGGCTATTTTGTTGGTGACAGACAGATTACATCCCAAGAAGATGTGGTTACCAACCTTGCACACCAAAACAAGAGCAATCCAGACATCAGAGTACCGGGAAGCACAGAAGTGTGAGCTGGTCAGAGAGCAGGACACGTCTCTCCCTGTCACCTAGGAGGTACACAGAGTCAGGACGGAGGGAACCCACAATTACCAGGAACACACAGGAGATCTTTGGGGACATCTGGAGCATGAACTCTTCTACAGCATGTGATTTCGCCCTTAATACGTAAAAACTATAACATTTAGGTGACTCGGTTATAATCTAAGTGAATGTGGCTATGGGTGAAAGAAAAGATGATAAAGTCCAGCTGACGTGTGGATGCTTGGTGATGGTGGGGCTTACTCCTCAGTTATTGTTTTGCTACCTCAGTGACTCATATTAGTACATCAGCAAAATTATGAATTATTTCACATCTTGTTTCTGCTATTTTTTAACAGGTGAAACTGTACATATTAAATCTGCAAAGTCAAGATTTCACTGTATACCTCAGCCCCTTGTGAGGCTGGAAACTTATACTTCCCATTATTTTAACCTATGTACTAGGCACAGTTGAGCCCTTTCCCTGCGTTGTTTCCCTTCATCTAAGCCACAGCCCTAGGAAATAAGGAGCACTATCATCATCACTTTACCTATGAGGAAACAGATACTTCAAGAGGTTTAAATGACTTTCCCAAGGTCACATGGCTGGTAAGTGGAATTTGAAGGAGGGCTGACTGACTCCAAAGACCACTTCAAAATACCACTTTTACTTCTCAACAACTAGGGGAAGTCAACTTCCTGTGTTTGAAAGTTCTCATTGTTGATCATGTGAAAGCAAAGATAACTCCTGGGCAGTTCTCATGTTCCAACATCTCAGTGGATGCTGTTGGAAGACACGTGGAGCAGGGGCAGTGGCTGTGGTAGCATACTTTGCAGACAAGGGGCAAGGCACTCACCACAGCCATAGCTCCCGACTCTCCCTGCTTTTTGGGTCATTTATCTTCTTGTTGGGAGAATGAACACAGAGTGAGTACCGCTGGGAGAATGACCTCAGTGTACCCACAGAAGCCTATCTTCCCAGTTCGGAAAGTAGATTATCCAGAGATTGGGCCCCTCACCGTCATACTGACACCGAGAATCTGGAGGCACTGGATGGGATCAGTCAGCACCCACGTCACAAGCAGGATCACATCAGCTATCACCAGGGCTGCTACTAACCCCAGTAGCTGCAGGTCTTTGATTATCTGCAAAAGAGTCAGGGTCATACATTTCCTTGGCTTGCTGGCTAAATGACACAGGGCCTAGAGTACGCTAGGTCCTCTGAGGTTCCAGGGTCAGCCCTCCCAAGGGGCTTCACATCCAGCCATCAAAGATGAAACACACACTACAGGTGTGCAATGGTGTCTATGTCCATGTCATCACCATCACCATTACCACTAAACGTTTTTATTTGTTTATCTGTCCCATATCCTGCCTTTTCTCACAAAGGATTAAGGAGTCTTATAAAATGAACACACTATTATTTCTAGATATGTGCATAATGAGCGTATAGAGATATTAATGCTTTCACATAAAACTGTTAAAAACCATTAACTTGGAGGGTGAGATTGAAAGATGAGGGTGGTGGAAGAGAGATTACTAGCATTTTCTTTATACATATATGAATCATTTGACTTAATAGAAAGAGGCTGTGTTACTTTTGTAACTACAGAAATAAAATTAAAAAATATATACTATGAAAGGATGAAAAGTTGAAAAAAATCAAGGAAAAGAAAGAAATCAGGAGAATTAGGATGAAAGGTCAGAAGAAGAGAGTACACAGCCCTCATGAATTGAGGGAGAAATGTGGATCTGAGTTTTTTGGTGACCATTGAAAAGAAGAGGGCGTAACTAGTTACATGATTCCGGTGTCTGTAAGATAAAAACGCATCAGTCATCAGTTGCTTCACCAAACTGCTTAAAACCAATGATAATAAGAAAATCTTCAAATCAACCAGCAAAAAGGCACATTATCTGTAGAGGAACAAAGACAAGGATGACATCAGATTTCTTATCAGAGAAGGCCACGTGAGAAGACAGCAGAATGAAAACTTCCAGATACTAAAAGAAGAAAAGAAGGCCTCAACCTGTAATTCTATATCCAGCAAAAGGAAAATGATATCAGATGAAAATATGGATCTATACAAGGAATATTACCTTTGTGGAAAAATACATGTTGATTTTAATTATTTAAATATCTTTAAAAGATAACTGTTTATCATAGACCTTACCCCTGGGGCTACTAATACATTATATGTTTATAAAAAAATAAAAAAATTATTTAAAAAAAAGATAACTGTTGGGCGCCTGGGTGGCTCAGTGGGTTAAGCCGCTGCCTTCGGCTCAGGTCATGATCTCAGGGTCCTGGGATCGAGTCCCGCATCGGGCTCTCTGCTCAGCAGGGAGCCTGCTTCCCTCTCTCTCTCTCTGCCTGCCTCTCTGTCTACTTGTGATCTCTCTCTGTCAAATAAACAAATAAAAAAAAATCTTTAAAAAAAGATAACTGTTTAGGGGCGCCTGGGTGGCTCAGTGGGTTAAAGCCTCTGCCTTCGGCTCAGGTCATGATCCCAGGGTCCTGGGATGGAGTCCCGCATCGGGCTCTCTGCTCAGTGGGGAGCCTGCTTCCTCCTCTCTCTCTCTCTGCCTGCCTCTCTGCCTACTTGTGATCTCTCTCTCTGTGTCAAATAAAAAAAAAAAATCTAAAAAATAAAAAGTAAAAAAAAATAAAAAAAGATAACTGTTTAAACAAAAATGAGTAACAATTGTGTTGGGTTTATATGTAGAAGTGAAAACAACACAAAGATCAGGACATGAGGAAATGGAAACATACAATCATGAGAAACTTATACTGTAAGTGAATGCCAATTATAGCAATGTTCACAAACACTTCCAGAAACTGAAGAAGAGGGAATGCTTCCTAATTCACTCTATAATGCTGGCATTATGCTATATGAAAACTAGAAAAAGATTTCATAAGAAAAAGCTATAGAACAATATTCCTTGAGTATACACATGAGTATTCCATGAGCCTACACATTATAAACACAATCTTATGAAAAGGAGTCCAACAATAAAAGAAGAGGATAATACATCCTGACCAAGTGGAGTTTGGAAAACAGTTTTAGTTTGAGATCCTAAAATCATTTAATGTAATTCCATCATATGAACAAACTAAAAAAGAAAAAGAAATATGATCAATAGACACAGAAAAAATATTTGACAGAACCCAACATCAATTCTTTAATAAAACCCTCAGCAAAATGGGAAGAGAGGAGAATTTCCCTAACTAGGTAAAGGATATCTATTATATGACTATAACTAACATACTTTGTTTTGAAATACTGAATGCTCTCCCTATAAGGTCAAGAAAAATTCAAGGATGTCTGTGCTCAGTATTTGTATTAAACATTGTACTAGTGTTTCTAGACAGGGCCGTCATACAGAAAATTGGAAAGAAACTTTTTATCCACAGATAATATGATCATCTATGCAGAAAATCTGCTGGATCTACAAAAAAAGATCTGATGGATCTACAGTAAGTAGTTTAGCAAGGTTACAACATACAAGATCAGCATATGAAAATCAATTATATTTCCATATATAAAACAAAAAATTGGAAAGTGAAATAAAGAACAATAGCATACAATAGCATTAAATACTTGGGAATAAATCTGATAGAAGTTATAAAGGATCTCCACTGAAAACTATACAATTAGAAAAGACCTAAGTAAATGAAGATATATACTGTATTCATGGGTTAAAAGACACAACATTGTTAAGAAGTCAGTTCTCCACAATTTGATCTATAGAGTCAACACATTTCAGAAGAAATTTGCAGAAATTGGCAAGCTGACTCAAAAATTCATAAGCAAATTCAAAGGACTTAGATTAGTCAAAACAATATTGAAAGAGGACAAAGCTGGAGAACTAACACTCCCTGACTCGAGATTTTATATAAAGCAACAGTAATCCAGATAATATGGTATTGGTGTCAAAATAAACAAATACATCACTGGGACAGAACTGGGTCCAAATATAGATCTACATATATATAGACAACTGATTTTCAACAAAGGTAAAAAGTAATTCAGTGAAGAGGACAGACTTCTCAATAAATGGAGCTGGAACAACTGCATATTAACGTGTAAAAAAATTAACTTTGATCCATAAATCATGTCATATTCTAAGATTAACTCAAAATGGATCATATGCCCAAATGTAAAAAATGAAAACTCTAAAACTTCTGCAAGTAAGCACAGGAGAAAACCTTTGAGGCCTTGGATTAAGCAAAAGTTTCTTAGATCTGATACCAAACATGATCCATAAAAGAACAAATTGGTAATTGGAACATCATCAAAATTAGAAATGTCTTCTCTTTTGAAAGATACACTTAAGTGAATGAAAAGAAAGACATAAATTGGAAGAAAGTCTTGGCAAATCATCTATATCTGCTGATGGGCTTATCCAGAATAAAAAAAGAACTCTCAAAACTCAATAGTAAGAAAACAAACAAATAAGTTCGAGAAAAGTGGGTAAAAGATACTTCACCAAAGAAGACATATGGAGAGCAAATAACTGTGAAAAAATTGCACTAAGGAAATGCAAATTAAAACACAATGAGATACTATTATAAACCTCTATTAGAATGACTACAAAGCACAACCAAGTCAAATGTTGGCAAGGATATAGAGGAGAGGGACTCTCATACATTGCCGGGGGGAATGTAATAAGGTACAACCATTTTGGGAGAAAGCCAATTTCTTAAAAAGTTAAACAGACACTTAATCATATGATCCACCCATTCTACTCTTAGGTTTTTATCCAAGAGAAATGAAAGCATATGTCTACTATAAAGACTTATACATCAACTTTCATAGCAATTTTACTTTTAATAGCCCTAAAATGGAAACAAACCCAAACATCCATCAACAGATGAATGGATAACAGACTATATGTCTACACTTTGGAATATTACTCACCGATAACAAAAAAAGAACCACTGATGCATCCAACAACACATATGAATCTTAAAATAATTATGCCAAGTGAAAGAAGACAGGTTAAAAAAAAGAGCACAGGAGTGCATGGGTGGCTCAGTCAGTTGGGCGTCTGCCCTTGGTTTTGGCTCAGGTCATGATCTCAGGGCTGTGGGATTGAGCCCCACATCCTGGCTCTGTTCCCAGTGGGCAGTCTGCTTGAGATTCTCTCTCTCCCTCTCCTTCTGCCCCTTCCCTGGCATGCACGTACTCTCATTCTCTTAAATAAATAAATAAATCTTTTAAAAAAAAAGAGTACATACTATATGATTCCATTTATATAAAATTCTGGAAAATGTAAACAAATCCTTAGTGACAGAAAGCATATCAGTGGTTGTCTGGGAATAGGAATGGATGTAAGGATTGGACAGGAGATGGAGATAACAAAGATTCTTGAAGAAACTTATGCAGATTTATACCATGATTCATGGATTTGTACCTATGTCAGAAGTTGTCAAATCATACACTTTAAAATATGTGCAATTCATTGCATGTCACTTATGCCTCAATAGAACCATTTTTTAATTTTATTTATTTATTTGACAGAGAGAGATCACAAGTAGGTAGAGAGACAGGCAGAAAGAGAGATGCAGGACTCGATCCCAGGACCTTGAGATCATGACCTGAGCCAAAAGCACAGGCTTAATGCACTGAGCTACCCAGGCACCCCAATAAAACAATTTTTTGTAAAGAAATCTGTGTTATAGAAGGATAGATAAACTTTTTGTCCTTTAGTCAATTTTTTTTCATATCATGGTTACTCACAGCTGAGCTTATTATGAATATCCACTGAATAATGACTAATATTTGAAAAAAAATCATTCCAGAGAAGTAAACTCCTATTGAGTGATATATTGGGTCTGGCTAGGACCTATTGCCAAAGAGTTTGATGACTGAACTTTGAGGTTTGGGCAAGGAACCTGATAAAATGGGGAAATGTGGTCAGGATGACATCTGATGTCGGGGATATAGGTGATCTGGCTGCCACAGAGCTTCTAGGGTTGATTCTATATGGTGAACGGATATCCTCTTCTTTGTTCACTGCTTCAGGCCCATCCTTCCTAGTGCACAAAATGGTCTTCCACATGGAAAAGAACTGGGCTCCAGTAAAGGAAATAATTGCTTACTTGCTACAGCTTCTCTGTAATCACTATCCCTCACTCCGCTTTCAGCTCATATTTATGCCAAGAAACAATCTCTCTGGGCATCTTGTTCTCTCTCACACTGGTTCCAGATGCTGGCCAGTTCACATGGTATCAGAAGTACCAGGGCCTGGGGTACATATGAAGCAGAAATACATTCAAAGTCCTATCTCCCAAGAGCACTGGCACATAGCTTTCCAGGCTTGGAGGCTTAGGAGACCACACTACTCCAAGGTTTGAAATGAGGAGTAGGAAATTCAGATTGCCATAAAAGGGCCTACCTAGTAATCCAACACAAACTTCTCCAGCTTATAATCAATAAAGCTGCTGTTTGCAATTAAGCACTGGTATGTAACTGCTGCCTACTCACCACTCTCTTGTCCGGGACCCTCTGGGTAAACACCTTGTAGAGTCGCCAGCTCTTCCCCAGAATAGGGCCAAATACAAGGGAGGTCCCAATGCACAGCATGGATAGTCTTATCTACAGAGGGAAAAGGATAGAAGCAAGAGGCATGAGATATACTTTTGTTGTTCTCCACATTCTGATCTGCAAAGCCTCAGTCTACACAGGGCAAGGGACAGGATGTGGACTGCAGTAAGCATTTCAGTGATCACCTTTGAGAGTGCCCATTCCAAGGATAAAGATAACCACCACCTATAGGAGATGCTGATTTGAAAAAAAAAAAAAAAATCAAAAGTTGGACATTTTGTTCAAAACAAAAACTTAAGATTTAACCTACCTGAATGAGAGTTTCCATTGAGCCTCCCACTAAAGCATCTCGATCTTGAATCCCAAAGAGGTAAACACTACTGTAAGTCAGACAACTGCCAAGTAAGGTCACAATATTCAGATTGGGACTGGACATCTTCACAATCCTAAAGTGAATCAGGAAGAAAGACACTTATAGTCATAACCCTTTGCTGTGGGAGTGAACAGAACTTCCCCACAAGTATAATCTCCAATGTAACCTCAGAGTGAAGGGCCACTGGGAAGAAACCACTTTATAGCCCTGTAAAAAATTGTTAGGATTTAAATTTATTTTAAAAAAGAACTAAATTCTGGCATTTCTTGCTTATATAACTCCAAGCCTTTAAAAAAAAAAAAAAAAAGGCCAACTTCTAAAAAACAGGTGGTATCAGAGAAGAGTGAGGACTTTTCCATGAAATTTGTGGTTGCTAAGAGACAACTATATGCAGCCTAGTGAGTAAATAACTAGCAGGTAGATACCTAAAGAGATACAGTTTGGAGCCCTTAGAAATAAGCTGTAAGGTAAACTGCTATTTGGAAAGTCTTCGTGATTTTTTTTTTCACAATTTACTCTATTTGATATGTAAAATTGTTTTTCCTTTCTCTGCTTGACCAAAAGAGAAAAAGGAAGCAAGCATTGAAAGGGATTTATCAAGTGACTACTAGTAATTATCAAGGGACTATAAACATAAATATTGAATTTATTTAAATTTTAAATTACACTATTTAGACTAAAACTTAAATACAATGACATTCCTTAATTGTTTTTTTTGGGGGGGTCAAATAGTTTTAAATTAGTTTACAGAATAATTTAAAGATGAGAGGGAAGTGTGGACAATCAGGGTGTCAGACAGACCCGGGGCACCAACAGAGGCTCAGGTAAAAATGTATGAGTTGGTTAACTTAAGGGGAAAACCAGGCTTACTCTAGACAGTGACTGATAACAATTAAGGAATGTCATTGTATTTAAGAGTTTTAGTCTAAATAGTGTATTCTACATAAATTCAATGTTTATATTAATAGTCACTTGATAATTATACTTAGTTATATTTTCATTTAAAATAGTAACTGAGGATAAAAGCATTCTTATCTATGTACCTGGATTACCTAGCTGACCACTTAAAGTTGAGAGCCAAGGCAAAACCAGTTACTTAGTGCAGCCTACTCTAATGACAGTCAAAGTACTCAGAGGCATTAAACAGTTCGGCAGAGTTAGACTTGCAAACATGATAACCAACAACGGCCCAGCTTTGATTACTTTGTGGCTGGCAGCATAATTACGTCCACACACACAAAAATACCAAGTCATTGCCCTGGGACTCCGGCCCCAAGTACAGATAAGGTTGGCCAGTAAATCCAGCTGAGCTTTACCTTGTCTTGGAGCAAAAACCTTGATTTTTCCTTTTTTTTCCCCCTCTAAAAATGAGAACAAGTTTTATGGATTCCCCTTATAAAAAGGGGATAACAATAATACCTCCTTCTCCCCCTGACAGAGTTGTAAGGACTTAGGGAGGTAATACAGCAAAGTGGGTGGCACAGTGCCTGGCACAGAGTAAGCATGTAGCCAACATTAGCTAATGATAATGTTAATCTCACCATCTTCAGATTTTAGAAGCCCACAAATCACTTTTTCCTCTCCTGTTTCTTTTCTTTTTTTTTTAAAGATTTTATTTATTTATTTGGCAGAGAGAGATCACAAGCAGGCAGAGAGGCAGGCAGAGAGACAGAGAGAGAGAGAGGAAAGCAGTCTCCCTACTGAGCAGAGAGCCCGATGCAGAACTCGATCCCAGGACCCTGGGATCATGACCTGAGCCGAAGGCAGCAGCTTAAGCCACTGAGCCACCCAGGTGCTGCTCTTTTTTTTTCTTTTTAAAAGATTTATTTGTTTTAGAGAGAGTGCACTCATGTGTGAGCGAGTGGGCATAAGGAGAGAATCCTCAAGCAGACTCCCTGCTGAGTGGAGAGCCTGACCTGGGGCTTGACCTCATGACCCATGAGATCATGATCTGAGCTGAAACCAAGAGTCATCGTTCAACCAACTGTACCACCCAGATGCCCTACCTCTCCTGTTTATCGCCTATACCCAATCAATTGCCAGTTTCTTTCACTTGTTATTTTGAAATCTCTCCGAGTTGTCTCTTACTCTCCATTCCTGCTACTGCATGCATCCAGGATACAATCAAGTTAGGAGCAATGAAAGTGGAGTCAGGTGTGACAGATGAGTAACCTGGCTCTGCCAATCACAAGTGTGGGACTCTGGGCAAGTCACTTAACCACTCTAGGTTCCTGTTTCCTCATCTGTGTAAATAATGTTATCTTTCCTAGCCATCCCACAAATTATTGCAAAGATCAAATGAGGTGTGTGGCAAAATTCTTTGAAAACTAAGGTGATGCAAAACTATGGATTTTTAGATTTTTGATGTAACCTCTAACCCTCTGTAACAGCAGTGTTTTTCCTGTCCTAATACATCTGTATATTACTTTCAGACTTAATTTCTTAAAATACTATCTCATCACTTAGGAAGAGAACTGCATGTATACAGATCAATTTTGTTTACTTAAAGTTTCCTGTATCCAAATTTAAAATCTAGCCCTATCCTCCCTATCCACTCATTCATCCATCTCCACAGTCAGCAAGTTTTCAAATTGTGACTGAGGGAGAGTAATCTTCACTAGTTTGTCTCTTCCCGTAAGAAGGAGAATTATGGGGTGAATACTGATTGCCAAAGTAAGAACAGTGTGAACCAGTAGCTTCACAATACATTTGTTAAGTAAAGTAATACCTTAGATAGACCGGTGCTGACACTGCTTAGAAAAGGGGCACTGCTGACCTGGGACTGGCTACTTGGTGCAGTCAGAAGCTTGCGCAGTGGAAAAACCACTGGGTAGATCTTGCAGGACAAATAACTAAGGCTGTTCTTCCCCATGACTATGCACAAGCATGAGCCATGAATAACTGATGATGACCTCCCTGACAAGCAGCTGCCAGAGTTCACAGCCTCACGTATGTGCTGTCTAGATCACTGATGGGTAAGTTTCTTTCTTAATTCTTCTCTGGGGCCCTTTTATTTGAACACCACTCTACAATCAGATATTCTTTGTGTTATTCAGTACTGCATGGAACCCTGATTTAAACGTTCTCCCTCTCTTGATTTAGTTAGGAGGAATTCAGTTTAGTTATTTTTTAAAAATTTTAATTATTGTTTCTTATTAACATATGATGTATTATTTGTTTCAGGGTCAGCTTAGTTATTTTTGATAAAATATATATTACATGGTCTTCACACCTCAGAAGTTGATGCAAATTCATTTCCTAAATGGACATGTTGTGGACTTACATAAGTTTATTTTTATATTTTTCATAAAAATTTTTACTTAAAACTTGCATCAGAAAAAAATGAATGGAAGATGATTTACCTATTTTGTTTGGTGAAGTTAACACCTGTGAAGTCACTGAAAAGTGAATCATCTCCTATTCAGCAGATGAATTATGTATGTCTGGGGAATGTCTTTCCTAGTTTAATAGGAGTTCAACCACCAATGTCACTTACATTTTTCTGTTGAATTAAAGATGAAATCTACACATGCTGAATATTCTAATCAACCACAAACACATAATTTCCACAAAGCAAGAAGATTTCAATATTATATACTTAATTATAAATATTCGGTCCCAACAAAATTACCTATGTTGCATTTATAAAGAGGTAAGGGCTTGGACTGGGTTACTAGCACTCAGAAACAAGGTTTTTTTTTTTTTTTTTTTTTTTTAAGAATTATATAGCTATGTTGGGGCGCCTGGGTGGCTCAGTGGGTTAAAGCCTCTGCCTTCGGCTCAGGTCGTGATCCCAGGGTCCTGGGATTGAGCCCCGCATCAGGCTCTCTGCTCAGCGGGGAGCCTGCTTCCTCCTCTCTCTCTGCCTGCCTCTCTGCCTACTTGTGATCTCTGTCTGTCAAATAAATAAAATCTTAAAAAAAAAAAAGAATTATATAGCTATCTCATCTTTTTCTCTTTATTCATTGGCAATGTAAGATGAGCTTTCTTGATTTTTCTATTCTCAAGTAAGTCTCAATATAAATAGATAAATATCCATCTATATCTGTAGAACCTGTATAAACCTGAATTATCATTTCAAAAGTCTTTAATGAATTCTGATGCTTATATGACATCCATCAGCTTACAGGTATGATGTTTTAAAAGTTTATCAAACACAGGTTTCTGAACTTCGAAGTTTATTATACTTGCTATGGAGGATTGACTGGTCATCCTATTGTTTCTTCTTAATTCTGGTTATGAACTGAATTTGGAAACATGGCTTGCAAATAGGGTTGAGGGTACTTCTTGTGGCTATTAGAAAAAATTTTTCAAACGTCACAGGATCATGGTTTCTGAAATGCTATATGTGGGTCACTAAGCTTTAAACTTATCTAAAACCAAGTATGAATGTCTTTCTAAAAATATTTTTAATAAAACACTTAAGATTAAATTGTGACAGTCAACTGAATTTATTTTTCAATCCACTGTTTTTGATCCATGCTACAGGGGGATTATAAATCTACCTCAGCTACATATGTTCCAAATAACTTTATCATAAAGTTGTTTCATGTGTTTCAGCACATAGTGATCATTTTGCTACTTTGCTTATTTCTAATGTTTTAGGTTCAATATCTAAACCCAATTCAAATTCTGCACACCTCAAAGCAATATATATCTATATATCTATATATACATCTATGTGACTTCTAACCATATATATTCTAATTCTGTAACATAATGGTGAGAGCAGCTTGGCCCTGTTCCTTCCTCTCCTGTCTGGACCACCACTCTAGGAGACTATCCTGGGAGACTTGATTAACCTTTCCACCTCCAGAGTTCTAAATTCTTTTATCATAATGACTTCACTTTATTCTTCTTCTAGATACACATCCCCAGGGTCCCATCTTGGCTGTTATAATTATTCAGAATGATTTTCTTCATAAATTTTGAAGACCAACATTCCCCTCTTTGATCTCAATGCATCTAAAATTGAACTCTTAGTCTTCTCCCTGGACCTGTTCTTCTCACATTCTTCCCCAGTTCAGACAATGGTAATTCCATCTTTCTGTTGAGTTGGACCAAAAATCTTGA